TCAGTCAGTTCCGTTTCGCCCGCACACTAAAACCCATCAAAGGGTTTGAAGTGTGTGTGAGTGTATGTGTTTGGATCACGTCGTACATCACTGTCAACATGAGCCCAACCATAAAACGGACGTGAGAAGTAAAACACACACACACACAATTCGGAAATTTGGTGAGAATGGTGACAACCCTACAGGTCGCGAGGATGCGATTCGTGTTGAATATAACCCTCAAAGCTAACAAATGCTCACTAAAGAAATTATCTTATGCATAGAAGTTTTGACTTCATGAACTCTGAGCAACAAAATGTTATCAGACTAATGTGGAAAGGTGGAGATCAAACGGAAGCGGTTAGAACTGGACAGGAACGTGGCACGGACGTGGGCAGAAAGGGACTAAACTGACGGATGATTATTTTGCCCAAATTTGTTTTCATCTCCTTTTTAAGTGTGTTTACAACCCAGTCATTCTGCGTAATTCGAATATGAAAAAGATCAGTACTATCGGTGTGGCCTCGTAGCTCAGCTGGTACAGCGTGCGCGTCCATGCGTGGGTTCAAGTCCCACCGAGGTTATTGAACTTCTCACGATCGACGTAGAAACTTCAAATCTGCCAAACAACAATTTGAACAGTCTGCTTTGGGCATGAGAATGCTGTCGCTTAATTTAATGGCTGCTATGAATTCTACAAAATATGTGTTATAACCACAATATACTTATGGTGTGTCTGTGTGTCAAGTGGATGCACTGCCGCTGGTGACTTCATTACCGCGTTACCAATTCCTACAACGATTCCTTGCTACTAGAGTTAACAGATAGTTAGCTGTGTTGCTGTCAGGGCATAAATGAACTGATTGACTATCACTGAAGACGACACTTGGACAAACATGAATTGGCAATTCGGTTCAGTCCTGGTATGAGCTGGTTAGAACAATAGTAATACACACGCCTTCCATGCAATGGGTCCGGAGCTCAAGTTCCCGACAGAACGGTGTATATGCACTACTGATGATCTCTAGTAAGAGCAAAACTGGAGTCTAGTGCGTCAGAGTGTGTATGGTTGACTGGAACAGCTGAAGAATGTGCGTGAAGGTGAAGTCTGAAGGATGGTCAGTTCTAATCAATCAACATCAATTATTCCACAACACTATTCACAGGTAATTGCAAGTTAATTGCCAATTCCTAAAGGTTCCGAAATGTGATGGTAAAACACATTTCCGCGAACTACACTCAAAATTGTTCCGAGTATCCTTAAAATTTTCAGAGAGATCGCTTCGCAGCATTTGTATGACTAATGCTCACGCACACTGGTATTACTCCCGCAGCGGATTTCTGATATTAATTTCTGGAAGGGAAAATGGATGAATAGCATGAGAATGGTAATCTTCATTGTGAAATTGCACTTTCTCAACGGTTTCATTCCTTATGTCTTTGCGTTCACTTCGGCAATGTGCATTGTTGACGCAAACAAACCAGTAATCGTCACTCATAACCGTTGTGGTTGAGTTCATGTTGACGTCAGTCAAATTTGACCGGAGCAATCTACATCATTCCCACTGCTCATACTTGATTGTTTTGTCTCTGATAAGGGGTTGATTTCATTTTCCAAACAGTTCTGTTGACCGTTTAAGCGGGTGTTTTTGTGTACAAGCGTAAAATACAATAGTTAAGAAAACCAATACATTTAATTTACACCAAATCACTTTGACCTGGCAAACAAAATCAAGCAGTTCGATAGTACGGCTCAGTGTGAATAGTTGCACAGTCTTTTGCAATATGCACTATCTAACGTGAATGAACATCTGTTGACAATTTCACTTCCGTCGCAGCTGAGAACTACTTGCCTCGACGACTCAACCACGTGCACGCATTTATTTTGTCAGAATTAAATATGCTGCCCATGAACATACAATTTCCCCCGTATCGAATAATTCTGGAGGTGTGGTTGTGTC